CATGGCCAACATATCGTATAATCATCTTTCCCAGATTTCTTTTATTGATTTCATCAACTTCAAACACTTCGTCGAGATACTGAAAGAAAAAATGAATTTGTTCAATAAATACAGTAACTACACGTGCTTATTCATTCCAATATAAAATCGCAGTAAAACTTTATTAATAAGATGATAAATTTACAATTTACTTACAGAGATTTGATTATTATGAGAGAGATAAGGAGGGGTTCTACACGTGCAATTGTAGAGTTGTATTCGTTTACAAGTTGAAAAAATTGTTTTAGAATATATGATATTTATATTTAAGGAATCACTGTCTAGTTTGTTGGGTCATGGCAGGGCGTCAACGATAGTTGGAAAAGTGGGATAATTTACATAACAGGCGAAGCCATTTCTTCATAAATGTATCCCACTTTTCCAACTATCGTTGACACCCTGCCATGACCCAACAAACTAGACAGTGATTCCTCATATTTCCATTTCATTGTGAAATTTAAATGCTGTCTTATAGCTTTTAATTACATGATCGAGGCCTCACATTTTATTTCAAAAGTCCCTGCCTCCTGACGTCAGACACAAAACAATTTTATGCGATCTTCCTGCATACTAGAATTGAGCTTTCTTAGCAAATCGCTTTTCGAAAAAGTACATTCCGGTTGAATTATCAAGAAGTTATCTCATAGAAAACAAATAGAAATGGAAATAAGAGGGTTGTTCAAAAAGTTTGTCGACGATGTCAATCGTTATTATATTACTCGCTAAAAATTAAAATAAGCACAATGTAATATGTAAAATATTTGTATGTTGAACTTTCATTCCATTCTATTTAACAAATATCAATTTAATTCATTTTATAATCAATAAGTTTTGTACCCGCGGAGCTCACTTAATGTCAAAATATAGCGTCAAGAATTTCTACAAAAAAATATACTATCACTTAATATTTCAAAGAATATAATCCAACGCCTTCTCATTAAATCTTTTTTCTTATACCAGGCATTTTCCCCCAACATTTCTAGAGTTTTTTTCAGGATTTTTCCTTTAGTTAGTAAAACACAAAACTGAATCGTACTCTGCTGCTCCATGACTTTTTTGTTATTTGTTGTTGCTTTTATCATGGTTTTTGTTGCTTTCAATGAGGATGACCTATCTCCTCAAGTTGATTTCTTTTCAACAAAGCAAAATATTAAGCCACAATTTGGAATACGAATCGATGTAACAAATCTGTGTTTGAATATCTAGTTTGTTTTTTCGATAATTTTCCATTTTACAGCTAGAGAATTTGACTACAGACATTATTTAGTGAATTGTTTGTAACTTATTATATTTTGACCTGATCCACGATCAAAATTTTGCATTTTTATGAAATTGTATATATTTTTTTATATTTAAAAAAATTAAAAGAAATCATTATGATTTATTGTTATATTGATATTTCTTCCAAATTTTGATAACAAATGACATCAAATAAAATATATATCAAATAAGTCCACGAACGTTTCGAACAACCCTCGTATATATTATGTATAATAAATGCTATATAATGTTGATGCTAAAAATACACTGACATTATACGTCATCCGATGAGTTCCGAGATTTTTCAGGATGTCCATCAATCTTTTTTCTTCAACTGTTGCCTAATTTCAAAAAGATGTAAAACGACATGAATATAAAAGAACTCACGCTTTTCAAACAAAAAATCGAATGATTATAGTTCCTTACTCTCTTTATATATACATACATAAAGAACTACATGTAGATACACTGTAAATTTGCAACTCTTGAAATGTACACACACAAACCTTAATCTGTAGATTGTTTAGTAGAATTTTCTAACTTTTTATCTTTTATATCATAATTTGTAAATGTAAGAAATGTTACTGAAAGATTTGTTAATGAAAACTGCTAAACAGTAAACCTGATATTTGTTGGTAAATTGTACTATTAAATTTGTACTTTTTGAAATGTTGTTATGTAGTAACACCTATTGAGACTGTGAAAGGCACTGTATTGGTGGTTATAGTTATTTCGCCTAAAATTAAAGAAAAACTCCTTAATCAATTGTTTGTATGTTGTTTAACGTCCATCTCGAGAATTTCTACCTTAATTAAATGAGATGCATACTAATCATTTATAATTCTAAAGATATATGTAATTGGATATTGGAAGGAGACGTGTATCTTTCTAAAACATTCCCTTGTTGTGCATTAGATATAAATAAAGATAAATTACAGAAGGTGTGCATAAAGATGAATTAGAAAACTTTAGTAAAATTATTAAAAATCTTTCTGGCACCCTGCTACAGTTTAATATCTGGATTCAACTGAATATGTTTTTTTTTTACTGAAAAAGACATATCAGAATCCTCAGGCAGAGCAAGATGCAGCTATCCATTTTGGTTTGACGTCCATTTATGAAAATTCCCTTTTACTCTATCCATGACTTTACACATAGAACTGGGAGCCGTCTTACAAAGCACCAAAAGTTATATGCAAACAGTTGTATTTCTGAAAGAGTCAATGCCAGCCAAATCTCGCAAGCGTAGAGGGCAGATGATAGCATAACACATTTTCATATTTCTTTGTTTTTTTTTATTGTAGATACATCAGGAGGAATGTCAATTTGTTAATACCAATAAACAAAGAATGTATTTTTGATAGAACAGTTTTTAACGCAATTGGTCAGAGACTAAAGAGCTTGTGCGATAGTTATAAGTCCGTCATCGATTTAAGTGTCAGTCGGTCTGTACACTTTCTTCAGTGTTTATATGATGTCAATATAACCGAAACGAACGGATAGTAATGTGTCATTATTGGCGATTCTGTATTTGAAGCTATTTCCTGAAAACAATTATTAAATAAATCTAGTTATTCTTAAGAATTATAGAGCCTGAGGGTTAAACCTTTTTTTATTGATGAAAAAAAAAAAGACAGCACAGCAAAACATGTACATGTAAAGGGTTTATCTAAATCATCACTTACAGACATGACACTTCTGAGTATATTGGTAGCTATGGCAAGAGACTCGTTCGTATCTTCTCTTTCTTGATCCTTCAGAATTTAAAAAAAGTTTTAAAAGAGAAACTTTTATATTTATTTCAAGCAAATTCTAGATAAAAAGCTTTTATAAAAACGTGTTTCTTAAAATAATAATGAAACAAATGTTGACATTTTTTTAATTATCTTCTATTGTGTTCATTATAACCTGGACATCTAGAATTTAACTCAGTTCAGAGAGTTTTGTGTCAATTGTTGACAATACTTTTTAACCATATATATAATGATAATGAAAGATAACAATACTTACTGTCATTTCAACATCTATGATTTGCTCTACAGTAACCTTGAGAAAAAAAATAATGTTAAAAAAGATAAATTCATTTTTTTTGTCTGTTAAGATGAAAGGTAATTTTTATGCAGTCATCGGGATCTTTATTTTTCTATGAACTGGAACTGAGTGTATGAAGTTATTCCGTCAGGTTTAGTGGCACAGAAACCGATATGCTTTGGCACTCTAAAGTTTCTCAATATACGAAAACCTTGGAAAACTGAAGCTTCCTGATATTCCTGGTTGTTTCCAATTTTCGAAAACCTGAAGTTTCAAATGTTTTATTGAAAAATCGTATTTGTACATGTAAACAAGGCGTATTAATTTCTGTAGTTTGCAAACTACATTGAATTAAGGCAGATATTTTAAGCAACGACTTTAACAATACCTGGTCTGTGTACCCCTGTCAAACCTGTTCATTAAAGATATATATGCCGTGTAAAGCAGTATTTTTGCAAAGGTGAAACCAAAACAAAATTTTCTGAAGTATGATAAGCTATCAAAAATGAAGCATTCTCGAAAATTCGACCAAATATTATTCGGTATTAATAAAGTACTGGTCGGGAAAAGAACACGATATTCTCATGCATATTTATAAAGGACTGAATATTATGTTGGATCTGCGCATGTACGCGGGAAAAGAATCATCAGGTCGAGGAAACTATTTTTTGTGACGTATGTTCAGCGAGGAACCAACAAGACTGACAAATCGACCAATCAGCTCAATGAGTTGTTATGGGTTACTACTCAGTACAAAAATGCTACATGTGTTTTTCGAACAGGCTAGTTTTTTAAATCGCTCTTAGAAAGACGTGGTGCATTTTTCAAGCATTTACACGCTTAATGCATTATGTACATTATCATCTAGAAATCCATGCTAACATTTGCATATAAATGAACAATGATAAAAATAAGACTTTTCCCCACTCTATTGTACAGGTCCGTTTGTTTACAATTTCCCCATGCTCTACCGACAGTGAAAAGACAATTTCAAGTGACTATATATTCCTCGGTACAAAAGCAACTAACGCTGAGGTGTGTTCACGTATTAACAATGTTTACAATGTGTACGACTTCGAAACATACAGTATCCTAACAAGAAAAACTGCATTTGTTTGTTAATGTGAGCATGGGAATTCTCAATTAGTAACTATTTTTCCTATTTTTCTAAAACAGGTTTTTGAAAAATGTAAATTGGCTTCCCAGCCGTCATTTGAAATCGCATCGTACAATTTCCCTAACCCACGTGTTTGTAGTAAAAACGAAGTAGACCATCATGTTTTTCGGCTCATTCACGAGATTGGACCATTGTTTTTCTGTGAGCATGCGAGACCACGTGTTCATGAATATTTTAATAAGAGGCGGTTTAATATCCGATTCGGAGAGAAAATAATTTTTAAGAAGAAAACACTTGCTGTGGCCTTCAACTCGACATTTAGATATATCGACGACGTATTGTCAATTAATAATGATAATTTTCATTCCTACGTCGACACGATATATCCTGGTGAGCTTGAGATAAAAGATACCACAGAGTCCGACACTTCTGCTTCATACTTGGATATTTTACTTGAAAAAGACACAAATGGTAATCTAACAACCAAGCTATATGATAAACGTGATGACTTTAACTTTTCTATCGTCAACTTCCCTTACTTATGCAGCAATATACCTTCATCGCCTGCATACGGAGTATTTATATCTCAGTTAGTTCGATACGCAAGAGCATGCTCTACGTATGAACAATTTCTTAAACGAGGCAAATTATTGACAAGCAAGTTGATGAAACAAGAATATCAACAGTCTCGTTTAAAGTCATCATTTCGTAAATTCTATGGTCGATACAATGACCTTGTCAGCAAATACAATTTATCATTGAATGAAATGCTGACTGACTTTTTTCATACCAATTGTTAGTCCATTATTTATACACTGAAATGACCACGGATTTTTTCCGTTATTTCCTGATTATGACAACGAGCACACGGCGGGTGTGACCGGTCGGCAGGGGATGCTCACTCCTCCATGGCACCTGATCCCACCTCTAATGTTTCGGAGGTCCGTGTTTGCTCTGCTCTTATTTTGTATATTTGTTTAATGGACGTTGAGATTGAATACTGTTCGTTATTTCCATATCCTTCTTTTACAATATAATATTTCATATTTTTTAAAAGTGATGGAGTGGAATTGTCTTAATTGCAGAAATTACATAACTTATGTAACTTGATGAAACACCACATATATTTATTTCTTTAGCAATAAAGCACTAATACGGCATATATATCTTTAAGGTACATTATTTTGTGCTTGAACCTGATTGAAATTTACTTACAAGTCCCTGTGTACATACCATGTACGTCTTGGTGACATTCAAATTACCTTCAGATCTTTTGATATTTAAACCGTACCTGGTATATATGTAAGTAAGCTTTAAAAATTATAACTGTGAAATAAACAATTTTTTTTTAATTTTGAACTTGCCTTCTACATCTACATAACCGATCAGTTTGTGCTTTTTTATTTTGATATTTCTTCGCTTAATAGCCGTTTGTTCGTTTTGAGAGATGTGCTTTATAAATAAAAATAAAAAAATTACTGATTGTAATAATTAATTAGCATAATTAATTCGTTCAATTATGTAAATCGCACTTCACCCGTGTATACCCGATAGACCGGACGCATTACATAGCGGTCCGGATTTCTTTCTTTATTAGTGTTCTTAAAAATTTCCAATTCAACATGTAATATTCTAAATATCTGGTGTTTAGTAGTTTAGTAGTAGTGCTAGTTGTTTTTGTTTATCTTTTTCCGTTGTTTTTATGACATTTTAACTTTTTCTTTGTCTTTAGGAAGGGACAGGGCGTCCCGAAAATTTGACAATTTTTATTGTTCGTGTCATACGTCATTTTAAGTGCTTTATATAAATTTCCACCCGTGACCTTGTATCTACTTCGGAGATCCGACATTTAGGATATACAATGTTGTTGGTTTTTTAGTGCTTTATATATATATATATATATATATATATATATATATATATATATATATATATATATATATATATATATATATATATATATATATATATATATATATATATATATATATAAAGCACTAAAATGACCAACGACACGAACAATGAAAATTTTCAAATTTTCGGGACGCCCTGTCCCTTCCTCAGAACAAAGAAAAAAGTTTAAAAGTCATCAGAACAAAGAAAAAAGAGAAACAAAAACAACTAGCACTCCACTAAAGTACTAAACACTATATATTTACATAATTACATGTTGAATTGGAAATTTTAAAGAACACTAATAAAGAAAGAAATCCGGACCGCTATGAAATGCGTCCGGTCTATCGGGTATACTCGGGTGAAGTGCGATTTACATAATTGAACGAATTAATTATGCTAATTAATAACGATAATCAGTAAATCGTACATTGTTTCATTCTCTCAAAATGGCGTAACTTTACTTAATAAAGAATAATGAAAGAAAAATAATAAAGCAGGGATATTTAAACATATGGATTATGATCCATTATAAATTTTGAAGCATTTAAGGATTTATTACCGGGAAAAAATTAAACAAAAGCGTAAACAATAAATAGTTTTCTGGGTTGTCCGAGAGTTGGTGACGCAAATTAACTGTAGAGTTAACACTAAATTGAGAGAATAATCTTGTTCAGTATCATCAGGAATTGGGTCTAGTTTACGTTCATTCTGGTGAAGTCATTCAGTTTGTTAATGCCATTAGGGCGGAATGACTTCAATCTGTGCATCCAGAACTTTTCTTTGCTTTTTCTCTGAGCATCTGTCCATCTTGGGTTATGGTCAATCACCACTACTGTCATGTCCTCCCATTTGTGACCCTCAAGGTTGAAATGTTCTCCAACGGGTTCATTGAGTTTTTTGGTCCTAATGGTCGAGCGGTGGTTATTGACTCTCCTGCGGAGATCTCCTGTTTCACCAATATACTGTTTGGAGCAAACTTTGCAACTGATGAGATAAATGCAGTTGTCAGTTTGACAGGACAAATTCCCTAGTATTTTGTAGCTGCAGCCTGTAACAGGGCTGTTAAAACTATCTGTGTCAGTGCTACAGAGGCTACAATGCCTGCACCGTACAAACAGCTATTGATGAGATGGCGGGACATGACAGGCAAAACCTATTACGCTACAAGGAGAAAGACAATAGCGGCAGGGTCCCTCTGGTAACCACATACCATCCCGTCCTTAAGAGCCTTAGCGGTATCCTTCAAAAGAACCTTCCAATTCTCCATTCAAACAAACGAATGGCAGAGGTCTTTAAGGAACCCCCACTGGCTGCATACAGACGCCCAAGGAACCTAAAGGACATGGTAGTAAGAACCAGACTGGACAACCCATTACCTAACGGGGGCTTTAAAACTTGTTCTGACAGAAGATGTCTTCTTTGTAAGCACAGCACTGACACAGATAGTTTTAACAGCCCTGTTACAGGCCGCAGCTACAAAATACTAGGGAATTTGTCCTGTCAGACTGACAACTGCATTTATCTCATCAGTTGCAAAGTTTGCTCCAAACAGTATATTGGTGAAACAGGAGATCTCCGCAGGAGAGTCAATAACCACCGCTCAACCATTAGGACCAAAAAACTCAATGAACCCGTTGGAGAACATTTCAACCTTGAGGGTCACAAATGGGAGGACATGACAGTAGTGGTGATTGACCATAACCCAAGATGGACAGATGCTCAGAGAAAAAGCAAAGAAAAGTTCTGGATGCACAGATTGAAGTCATTCCGCCCTAATGGCATTAACAAACTGAATGACTTCACCAGAATGAACGTAAACTAGACCCAATTCCTGATGATACTGAACAAGATTATTCTCTCAATTTAGTGTTAACTCTACAGTTAATTTGCGTCACCAACTCTCGGACAACCCAGAAAACTATTTATTGTTTACGCTTTTGTTTAATTTTTTCCCGGTAATAAATCCTTAAATGCTTCAAAATTTATAATGGATCATAATCCATATGTTTAAATATCCCTGCTTTATTATTTTTCTTTCATTATTCTTTATTAAGTAAAGTTACGCCATTTTGAGAGAATGAAACAATGTACGATTTACTGATTATCGTTATTAATTAGCATAATTAATTCGTTCAATTATGTAAATCGCACTTCACCCGAGTATACCCGATAGACCGGACGCATTTCATAGCGGTCCGGATTTCTTTCTTTATTAGTGTTCTTTAAAATTTCCAATTCAACATGTAATTATGTAAATATCTAGTGTTTAGTAGTTTAGTAGTAGTGCTAGTTGTTTTTGTTTCTCTTTTTACATTGTTTCTATGACTTTTTAACTTTTTTCTTTGTCCTGAGGAAGGGACAGGGCGTCCCGAAAATTTGACAATTTTTATTGTTCGTGTCGTTGGTCATTTTAGTGCTTTATATATATATATATATATATATATATATATATATATATATATATATATATATATATATATATATATATATATATATATATATATAAAAAGGCAACTAATTATCTGATTTCTATACGTTTATACGTTTTCATCAGAATGAACTTTCTAGATTTTTGAAACCGGTTTACTTTGAGAATTTTTCAAATTTAATGTGCAACTTTATAATGATAAAGATGAAGATAAAAACACCAATAAAATAATTTTAATATATGAAAAGAGCATAAACACAGAGTTTTAGAAAATTCAAGTGATGGGAGCTAGCACGAGTAATCATCCCTGCTGACTGGCCTTATCCTTTGCAACTTAATATTAATCAAGTTTGGGCTATTATAGAATTTTGGCAAACGTACCTGAGTGTTAGAGCGAAACATTGCCATTCGTTTTTGAACATCTTTGAGGCGATTTTCTTTCATCGTCTGAAATAAAAAAGCACATTGTTTTAGTGTTTAACAAAAGGTTTTGTATTCCTATTTGCAAATATAAGTTGTTTAGATTACCTTCATTTTATCTAGATATTCCATAAGGTTTTCCTCAGCACCGATCTGAATTGATATCAAAAGCATGTATTACATTGAAGATTAGAACAGATAATTCCAAAATAAATTAAAATTGATAAAAACAAGTATAGTATAATATACATAAAAATGTTTCACATAGAAAAATAGTAAATCAAATTTGATTTAACCTGTTCCTTTTACACATAAAACTTCATTTGATACCTTTAAGATATGAAATAATTCATGAAAGTCTTTGTAGAGAAGTTCTTCAACGTAGATTGTATCAGTGGCTCCAACTAAGATGTGTCTTGAAACAAGTATTTCCTATGGACATATATATGATATATATTAAATATAAAATAGTACTTGGGATATATAATATTCAAATACATATGTCTGAAACTTATGCAAATAAACCAATACAAAAAGACCAAACATACACTAAAGCAGAATATGAAAACAACTTACTTCAATAAATGTGTATAAGCCCTCAATTATCTCAAAGAAAATATATTTCTTTTGTTTATCACATGCCTTAAAATAAAAATTTGAAAAATTGATTTTTTTATATATAAAAAAAAGAGGTAAAAAAACGAAAATTTTCCACAGCAAGAGAGGGGGGGGGGGGAGAGATACCTGTAACATTTCAGCGAAGTCATTAGCATAAGACTTTGATTTTTCCAACTGTTGGTTTGTCGAATTCTGTCTTAGTATCTGCTAAAATCAAAAAATTACAGATTAACCATTTAGGTATTATATGCAGTCATTGACAAGATACTAAGAGATATGGCATGCACAGTTTAATTTGCAGAAATGAATGCGAAGTAAAAAAAAATGTTTATTAAAGGATGCTTATTAATTTGCGTTATATGCAGTCATTGACAAGATACTAAGAGATATGGCATGCACAGTTTAATTTGCAGAAATGAATGCGAAGTAAAAAAAAATGTTTATTAAAGGATGCTTATTAATTTGCGTTCTCACAAGAGCTAAAGCAAAGTAAACTAATTAAATTCAATTCAAAAGTCCAAAGAACTTTAAGACAATTTGAAATCACAAGAATCTACCAAAATCAACAGCTTAAAAACTTTCGACTTTTCAACTTTATATGCAACCATTCCCCACGATAAATTAAACAGGTCGGTCAGAATACTCGAAATCGGGTATTATTCGTGAAATCGCGTATAATACTCGATACTGTAAACGTATTACATTTGGCTGTGTATTCTTTTTAGCGCCTTTCGCGGTAAGCAGCCTCCGCTAAATCAAGTACATCGCTAAATGCTTTGTGTATAAAGGCTTATGTAACGCACATTCAAAAAGCGCTAAATCAAATCTACGCCAACTTGTTGAAAATTCAATTTCCGCCAAATATCGTACACGCCAAATATAATACGTTTACAGTATTAGGGTATCGTTGAATCCGCGAAATCGGATATTCTATGCAACTTTCTATAAAAGCTAAAGAATAAAGCAACGGCGCATTACGCCAGTAACTGTTATTTGTACATCAATATCTTGTGGATTTATTTTTATTAAACCTTATTCATACGGTTGTCAAATAAGTTCAAAATCACACGACAAACACTGCTGGGGTAACAAAGAGGACACAATGGCGTTATTATTTTTTCAATTTAATATCTAAAAAACAAATAACTACACATCGTTTGTCTTTATTTCCCGTTAAAGTATTCCATATACTTAATTTTCTAATTTGTACACTATTGACAAAAGTGAAATTTTAAAGAAATTAAACGACTATTGCCGTGTTATGTATTTTTTACTGAAAAATGAATGGCGTCCCTTTCGCGTGAAATAAGAATTATTCCTAACAGTAAGTGAGTACAGTATAATCGAGTCATAATTGTATATCTCTGTCATAATAGAAATCCAACGTTATTATAAAGAAGAAAATAAAAAAAAAGATTAAATAAATACCTACGGGAAAACAGTTTGAAAAAAGCTAATTGAAGGTGAGTATTTTTTTATGTCAATTTAGCATAAAATTTTTATTCAAAGACACCGTAAATTTTTTGGTTGCATTTTAATCGATACAAGATATACTATTTCACCTTTATTTTATGAATTTGTGTGAAAACTGAAAGCGAGAGGTCATATGAACAGAATTTCCTTTTTTTTTTGGGGGGGGGGGGGTATAAATAAAAGTCAAATGTGTACATCTTTTCATGAGCTTGTTTTTTTATACATTGAATTTCTCAATATAGATCGAGGTACAGTCATACTGAAATATGAATTACATAGTCAAGTTTTCACATTTCTTATGGTTTTTACGTTTATGAACATGTTAATGAACAAACTGAAATAATAATGTTCAATTGCCTTGCAAACTCTTGTCTTACTTTTTGGGAATATAATTCCTCATCGGACATTAAAATTTCATAAAAATCGTAGCCACTTCCTTTCTTTATTATACTATTTAATAGACAGAGTAAATTTTACCTCTTTGCCTTCTATATTTTTTTTATATCGCTATCTTATACCGCATTATAATATGCTAATACAACGCACTATCTGATTGGTTCTGGACAATATGTCACAGTTTTCTTTTAGTTATTTTATCTGTGATATGTATTACTCATGGCAATAACTTTTCCTAATACTCATTATCATCTATAATGAAAAAAATGTGTTTAAAAAATAAAGATGAATTCTAGTTACTAGTAGTCTCATATTGTGTTAGAAAATAACAGGTTGCTTTTTGTTTACCTACAATGTATATGATTTTTATTTGATGAATAAATCTCCCCTACAATTAAAAATATATGGCCGAGTTTAATCGACCGTGACATTCAAAGAGAGGTCTCTTGGTCACATGTAGAACACAGTCGATGTTGTTTTGTCAGAGGTGGTCAAGAAGCCTTTAGTCCGCCCCCCCCCCTTTTGAAGTCGCCAAGAAATGGTAAAATATTGATGACTTAGCGAAATTAAACGATCAACAGTTATGTTCTCTCATAAGCTATATTCGTGAAACTATCACTGTCTCTGCTAAAATGTTAAAGACAAATTCTGTAAATATGTATGAATGATAAATAAAAAGAAAGATTTTCAAAAAAAGAGAAAGAGGGTTCTTTTAGCCGACATTTTAGACAGTTTTATCATTATATTATTCATACATTCATTAATAAATTTGATTTTATGCACAAGATGAATGTGAAAGTAATTTATGACGCATATTTAGATACGATAGACAATCCCTTGTTTATGCATGGCATCATATCTTGTCTGTGAAATGTGTTTCCATATAATTTGATTTATTTACAAATTATTCATGTTTGTCGTGTTGATGTGGAATTATTAGAAATTCACGAATTCTGATACTTTACAATTCTGTTGTGTTGGGAATGAACATTAGAAAGATGCATCTACTTTCAACATAAGGACAAATATAAAGCAAATCGAACGCCTTTTTGTGTGCAGATCATGAAATGTACTGAGCTCCACGGGTCATTGTTGTCCCGAGCGCATTGATCTTAAAGCCCAAATTCTTACTTGGCTGGTGATACCTTTAGAAAACATGTGTATCTAGATGAAAGTTAACTCGGCAACATGCGCCATTCCATTGTTTAAGTTTTATTAGGTGATTACACCTCCTATACCCGATTTGGCGAATTCGACGATACCCTAATATCGAGTATTATACGCGATTTCACGCATAATACCCGATTTCGAGTATTCTCTCCGACCTGTTTAAGTCCAGCCTTTTTGATATCGAGACACAACTTTTTTTCAATAAAAATGGAATTTGTAAAGTTACTTGCCTGGTCATTGGTCATACTGAATGCGCACACAAGTACGCTGCGCTGGAGATCAAAGAGATACTTGAATTTTTGATCGACAATATCTATGATATCTATATCTAAAGCTTGAGATAAAAGATACCACAGAATCTGTTTGATACTTGAATATTTTACTTGAAAAAGACGTTAATGGTAATGTTACAACCAAGTTCTATGATAAACATGATGACTTTTACTTTTCTATCGTCAACTTCCCTTATTTATGCAGCAATATACCTTCATCACCTACATAAGGACTATATAATTCTCAGTTAATTCGTTTCGCAAGAACATGCTTTACGTATTAACAATTTCTAAATGAGTTGAATTATTGACAAGCAAGTTGATGAAACAAGAATATCAACAGTCTCGTTTAAAGTCACTATTTAGCAAGTTCTATGGTTGATACAATAACCTGTTAGCAAATATAATTTATCATATACGGTTAGAAAAACGTTGTGACCACAAAGAGACCACGCAAGTGAGTTAAGGCTAAATATGGATATTTTTATGCAAATAAGCTAATGAAAATTCATAATTTGTATATTTTATGTACAGAGAAGGTTCAAATTGATTTTCTTATACATACTCAGTATTCACAGTTTATTAATGCAAGTGCACATTATGACGTCATATTATGACGTCATTGTTCTCTCCCATTCAAGGTAAAAATCATATCAACAAAATCACTTCGGCGCAAGGGCCTATCTTATCTAATTTAAAGAAAACAATGTATAATATTAAGGAGAATATTCTCAAAATTAATAAAATTGCTGCACAAATCCTATGCACTTTCTCAATTGGTAAAAATTTTAGGAAAAATACCCCGGAAAGTGAATTTTTACCCTGTTAAAACTTAAACTGCACGAATAGTAAGTAACCAATTGCAGTGCCAACATTTGTGCAGCAATATCTTAAATCCTTGTAATATCCTGCGCCTTTTGATACCTTGTTTCTGTAAAACAAAGTAAGGTATGCCCTTGCGCCGAAGCGATTTTGTTGATGTTTCTTATAAACTTGTGTAGTACAGGTCGATGACGTCATAATATGATATAATGTCATAATGTGTACTGGCTTTCGCATGTCGTGGTTACCAAGAATGTATTAGTAAACAAGTCTTAGCATTTTCTGTGCGGTAGGTAGAGCAATTATGGAATTTAATTTGATATTTTGTATAGAAATTACCTTATCAGGTCGAGGAAACTATTTTCTGTGATGTCGGAATAAATTTACATGTTAAGTGAGGAACCAACGTGACTGACAAATCGACCAATCAGCTCAATGAGTTGCATTATGGTCTACTACAAAAATACTACACGTGTGTTTCTAAAAGGCCATTTTTTTTTAAATCGCTCTCGGAAAAACGTGATGCATTTTTCCAAGCATTTTACACACTTAATACAATATGAACATCATTATATACTGATTCCATGCTCACATTTATATACAAATGATTTACGATGATAAAAATTAGGGTTTTCTCCACTCCATTGTACAAGTCCGTTTGTTGACAGTTTTCCCCGTGCTGTGTAGCTGTACCGTCAGTGAAAAGTCAATTTCACGTGACTATTCCTTGGTCCAAAAACAATCAACTCTGAGGTGTGCTCATGTATTGTCAATGTTTATAACGTACACAACCTCGAAATACCGGTATTTATGTTCTCAATGTGCATAATGGTTTATATAACAGGTAAATAATAATAAAAAATGCAACTTAAGAATTTTTTATATAAAATGCAAGTTTTAATTTCTTGCAACAAATAACTGAGCAGCAACTCCATAAATTTAACCAGTAACATGGCACATTAACGAATATCGAGTAAAAAAAACTTGAGTCTTATTTACTAGTGAAGACTTTGTGAGCGGTATTTCAAAGTTCTATTTAACAAGGAAAACTTACTTTGTTTGTTAATGTGAGCATGGGGAATCTTAATAAGTACCAAATCTTTGTATTTTTCATGACAAATTTCAAAAAAATTGTTAGCTGACTTTCCTGCAGTCGTTTGAAATCGCGTCCTAAAATTCCCTGAGCCACGTGTTTGTAGTAAAAATAAACATGTAGCAGACCATCATGCTTTTCGGCTCATTCACTGGATTGGACAATTGTTTGCTGTGAGCACCTCTGTGCGCAATCGCAACAATATCCATATAAGGTAGTTTCCTCAATCTGCTTATGTAGCCTTAACTCACATGCGCAGGTCATACCAGTAAAAGCAAGCTTTTAAATGAAAAAGATGATAATATTCAGACACTATTTTTTTATTACATTCGATTATGATTCATACTTATTGTTAGTCCTTTATTTATACACTGAATTGACGACGGAGTTTTCTGTTATTTCCCGATCATAACAAGGAGCACACGGCGGGTGTGACCGGTCAGCAGGGGATGCTCACTTCTCCATGGCACCTGATCCCACCTCTGATGTTTTGGAGGTCCGTGTTTGCTCTGCTCCTATTTTGTATTGTTTTAATGAATTTGAGATGAATACTGTTAGTTATCTTCATATCCTTCATTCAACTGAATAATTATACTGTATAATTCAGATACAAACTCTTCACAAAATAATGTCTTAGCAAAAAAAAAAAAAACCCATCCCAATTACTATAGTAAGTCATTTCCATTAAAAATGTTATAGAATGAGAGTTTTTCTTCAATTAATATTTGAACATCTGAAGAAAAAATAAAGCACTTTCAATTTTTTCGAAAGAAACTTTTTATGCAAATGAGAAATGCTTATTTGGTAATACGCAATTGAAAACTATGTCATGCATTTTGTTATTGAATATTTTGATACACTGGGCTAAGGACTATATCGGAGAGACCATGGAGAAAAAATTGCTTGAATCAGTTAATCATTGTTTAAATCATTATCTTGGGAGTTCACATGTGTTTAAAAGATCCTATCGGTTGGATTTTAAGTCAAATATTATAAAATTCCTGTGAAATTTAATAAAAATATATCAAAACGTAATATAATTTTCCACTAAGAGCAAAATATGAATTGTCAGAACAAAATTTTACAAGTCAGAACTACAGGTAATTGTTGTCTTGATTCCAAAATATTAACTATAACCATCTAAGACCAAGAATAGCCTTTTATTTAACATCTAAGAAGTATGAATTTCATGAGAGCACTAGGGCTATGGACTTCATCATTAAATAGCTCTATTGTGGACAATCATCTAAAAGAAAATATAATAGTAGAATTAATTATTCGCAATTATTAAGGTCTTCCGTCTTCACGGAAGACCTTATAGTGATTCTACTGTTTCTTATTATTAAGGTCTTCCGTCTTCACGGAAGACCTTATAGTGATTCCACTGTTTCTTATTATTATTTTTCCGTACATCTAATTTTGTGCACGCGATTTCTCAAAGACTACTGGATGGATTTTCATGAAATTTGCAGGAATAATGTGTTGTTATCTGAAGTTATTTTATCCGAGAGATTTTTTGGAATTTCCTGTCTGGTGCCAAGTTACAGACAATTTTCTGATTTTAAAATGACATTTTGTCCGGGGTTAATCTCAAGAACGGTAACAGATATCACTGTGAAACTTTCTGGGATTATAGATCGTGATAAGTACTGTCCAGGACGCAATATTTTGAACGTCGTCTCTACTTCCTGTCGTTACTGCAGGCGAATTTAAAAAGTCGAATTTTTAAACTTTTTTGTTTTTCAGTATTTTTGAATTATAATAAAATGGTAAATAGAAACCTTTTCAATTAGGCTGAATATATAATTTGTTTTTAAATTGATAAATCCAAACTCGAGATATTAACAATAAAAAATTTGAAGCGGGACCAAAATGGCGGCGGTCTCTGTCAACTCCGACATTTCGCAATAGGGGCTTACAGAGGCAGCTGAGCGTTTGCTTGAACGAAAGTAACATAAAGAGCACTGAATATGAAGGAATACTTGGATTGTCACGATATAGGTACGTTGCAATTCTGTATCAATCTACATTTATAATTCAAGGCCTCCTTACACGTCTTCTTTAATTGGTGTTAGTTGTTTCTAAGTAGAAATAGAAAGAATTAATATGCAAATGAAGTACAATACCTTCTATCTTTTGTTTTGCATCTCGGAAACACATAGCTTAAATCGTACATGTAGTTATAAGTAATAGGTTTTCAAGATACAATATATATAGTAAGTATAAAACGGGACAACTGTTTTCCCAAGCACACTTGTGTCATATTAAATTAATAGAAAAGACAACTGTTACAGTGAGTTTAAAAAAAAAAAAACTATTTTTAAAAGTCCGTTTAATTGACTTCATGTAAACTTTTTTTTCAATTATGCAAGTTATTGAACATAATTGAATCTTATTCCTTGACCCTCGTAAGGCGATAGAGGCATTTTTTATCGGTGAAACACCACCTTTTTTCAGGAAAGTGTAGGTAATCGGAATAATCCACTTTCGTGATTAACAGGAAAATTTTATATATATATATATATATATATATATATATATATATATATATATATATATATATATATATATATATATATATATATATATATATATATATATATATATATATATATATATATATATATATATATATATATATATATATATATATATATATATATAAATTAACCATCTCACCTATTTAATAGAACATTCCAAGGGAAAGGCGCGAAGATTTACTCGTGGCGTTTGGCGCGAAATTACGAATAGTGACCCTCCATTCATAATCCCAAGACAGATTAACTGTTGCAGAATTACATGTACATAAAGATGAATTTAAAGAAGTTGTTCAAATGGCGTAATCGATAAGCGTATCGGATTTTCACGCTAGTGACCCGTTTCAATTACCAGTGTGTCCAAAAAATGTTTAATAGATTTTCAGCTCGATTTTAGGTTTATTTTTTGGAATCAGACGGAAGACCTCTCGTTGCTCGCAACGAGATCGTTTCTAGTTATAATTATTTTTTTGACTTTCTAATTTTGTGCACGCGATTTCTCGAAGACTACTGGAAAGAAT